TCTAGTAATAGCACGGTCAGTTTGGTTCGGTTTCTGTGTATTTCATTTGGTGATATCTACATATAAACATATTTTTTTGGGGGGGGGAGGGGAGTCTGAGTTACCAAGAAAGCAACAGATTGACATAAACTGTCTTCATGTTGGTTTTACATTTTCCTCCTTAGCATTTCTAACTTTGACATTCCAGTCTCCAGTCACAAGGAGCACATCTCACCCACAGGTTTCATTGAGTTCAACTTGAACTTGATCCTCAAACTCTTCTTCTTTTGTATGAAGGGTTGAAGCCCAAACTTAGACAATGGTATTAAGGGGATGCCCACCTTGCGCCCGAAAGTCGTCCTTGGCACACCTTTCCTTCTTCGGTTTGCGTGAGCCGTAAACAACCTCGTCTGTTTGAAAGTGCCCTGACTTTCGAGTACATTTCAATTTGATGGTGTGGCCATTTCACCTTTCACGGTGTTGAGCCCTGCAGCTCTCCAAGTGCTGTCTGACCCGAGGGGCACACCATTCAACAGGGCACTGCCCATTGTTTTATGTTTCCTATTAGGTGTTCCTCTTTTTCAGAAGTGGTTTAACCCTAACCCCCGCCCACTCAATATGCAGGGATGCCTCTGCTGCTCTTGTGAGCGTCTGCCTGCTGCTCAATATAAGGGCCTGCTTGTCTTAGCCAGGCAGCTGGGATGCCCTTCTTGCCTTGAGTGATCTTGCCGAGATTATACCTTATTGGCAGGCGCTCCTGGCACCCTTTCCCTTGTCCCACCCAGGAACAACCTCCCCCCACAACTGCCATGACGGGGCAGCAGAACAGGATGCCCGGATAGGCAGAGAAAGCAAGCGCTATCCTAGACTGCAGCAACAGAAGCAGAAGGTCAGGATCAAAAGACGATGTTGCTTCTCTCAATTTTGCATCCATCAAAGCAGAATTAAGTCTGGACATTACGTTGTAGGAATCCTAAAGCCACAGCCAAATCCACTCCAATGTCCTGCTTGGTCCAGGAGAGATTCTCTGTTCATCTCTCTTTAAAAACCTCTAGTAAAAGAGCTCCTTTCCTGTGGCAGACTGTTCCGCTGGCTGACGCCTGATGCCATGCTGAGGCTCCCCCTGAGGCTCTTTCCTTGCACCTTCCCCCCTTCACTGCACCCGGCCAGCTCTGGGGGCGCTACAGAATAAGCCCACTCCCTCTTCTGCAGGACAACGCCCCCCCCCCCCAAAAGGGAAAGCAGCTGTCCTCCCTCCTCCTCTGGAGGCTGAACCTTGACCCTTTCAGTCCCTTGCTGGCCCTCTTTGGCCTGGCTCCCATCGGCCGGGGGCTTTTGGGGGCCCCAGAATTGGAGGCAGGACTCCACAGGAGTTTGAGAGGACAAAGTTCATGGAAGAGTTGCTCCTCCAGATCTGGATTCTATGCTCCTGCCAAGCCCCCCACCCCCCCCCCACCCCATACGTAGCTATAGCTGCTGCCTCAGACTCCTGCCTGATGGCTGAAGGAAAGACCCAGAGAAACGGAGAGGAGGAGGAGGAGGAGGAGGAAGCCTCACCGCCTCTCCCAATCTTGTTCACTGACAGGTCTCAGCCCTTTCTGGTGAGAACTCTGCCAAGCGCCCATTCCCAAGGACCCACTCCCGTGGTTCTTGTGCTCCCTCCGGCTACGGCGACACAATAGTCCTACCCTTCCAGTCATCAAGCACCCATGCCAGCTTCCCCCATACATTACGTTAGCTGCAGATCCACTCCGTCAGTGAACTGCATCCACTCCCCATCTTCCCTTAGCACTGGTTCCAATTCCACTCTTTAACAAACCCGCACCAATTCCATGCAAATCCCTAAAACCTCCTCACTTCCATTAATCCCAACCGTCTCCCTTCTCCTCCTTCTGCTGGAGGTTCTTTACTTAGGCATCTTCCCTCACATGCAAAGCTCTTGTTCTTTGGGTCTACCCTGATTCGCCTCCTTTGTTCCTCGGTCTCTTTCATCATTGTTTTTTCAACTTTTTCCCTCAATGCGCAGATGATTTCTGTCATTCATACATTTTGCAGCATTCATTCCCACCTCTTTTAGAGCCCCCCTCTCCCATCTTCATTCCACCATGCTTTCTTTTTCTGTATTTCTCATTAGCATATCTCCCACCCACGAGAGAGTGAGAGCTCAATGGGCCATGGAGCCATAAAAAGAAATTGGAGACAATGGGAAGAAAGCGGCTCGCATGCAGAAATGGGTGACCAGGACAAAAGGACATTGAGACGGTCTGGCCATGCAGAGAGAAGGATGACCAAACGTATGGAAATGGTATATCAGCCACGAGAAAGTGGTTTCGCTATTTGTGTGTGTGTAATCCCCCCCCCCCCCAAGATCCACTTTTGACCCCACTAGAAAACGGTCTGCTCCACCTTTGGAATGTTTCATCCTGGTACTAACAACAGGCTCAGACTTTCCACATCAAATCTGCCTTTAGTTTCAAAGCTGCCACAAGTTTACACATGAATCTAACCTTCTTAATCCTGTACACCACCCTGAGTTGCAGTGAAGTTGCCGTTGGGCCCCCTTACAAATTGGAGGGAGACTTATTCTTAAGGCTTACCTCCGGAGCATACGTTTTCTAAGCAAGTAGTCACCAATCACCATCCTTATTCATTTCTGGACCTCCGAACAGCCCAGTCACCACCACCACCACCACCTGCCCATCCATCCCATAGAATATTTCTCCCCTAAATCACAAGCATCCAGAACCCAATTCCTGCCAATCCCCTTTTCTGGTTCTTCCCTTATCACCCCTGGCTGGAAAGCGATAATGTGCAATTGTCACCCTCCTGCAGATTCTTACTCGGGGACCCACCCATCAAGAAATTAAGATACCAGTCCATAGTTTAACACTTTCATTCATAAAAAGAAGAGTTGCACCGCCAGGGTTCCTCGGCTCCGCCCATTAACTTTCCCAGCTGGCGATTTTCCTGGGGACCCAGCCCAGCCCACCCCCGCAAAATACAGCCGGCTAGAGAAGGGGGCCCGGGCGGGCAGCAGGGAGGCCGCTTTGGGCACCTTCCGGGGCCAGGAGGCCGAGGGAACCGGCGGCCTTCGCGCCCAGCCACAAGGGGCCCAGGCCGAGCGCCGTCTGGCTAAGGAGGGGGGGGGGGGGGGGGGGGCGGAGGAGGCTCCGGACCCCGTTTCTGCACCGACG